TGACTATTTTTGAATATTCCCCCTGTAGAGGGACGTGCCCGACTCAAACGTACGTCCAGGCAGCGGCCCGGAAAGACCAAGGCCCATCCTGGGCCCAACGTGTCTTTCCTGCACCATCCTGTGGTGTCGGGTACTCGCTGTGGAGAGACAGTGCTCCGCGTCTCTTTCCTCCTCCTCTCCTCCTTCCGCTCCTCCCTCCTCCGATGCCTGCCTCTGCCCTCTGCATGTCCACTTCGGCACGCCTCTGAAATGTTTCGTGGCCCCGTAGGGAGCTCCAGCTAGGGCCCTAATGCCCCAATGCCAGGGCTCGCGTGGCGTAGGTGCCTCATTTCGGAACGCCCCTCACGCGTTTCGTGGCCCCATCGGGAGCCCCAGCTAAGGCCCACATGCCAAGGCTCGCATGGCGTCGTTGCCTGAATTTCGCACACCCCTCGCACGTTTCGTGCTTCCATGGAAGCTCCCGCTGAGCCCCAAATGCCGAGATTCGCATGGCGTGGGTACCTCGTTTCGGTGCATGCCTCACGCGTTCCGTGGCCGCATAGGGAGCTCCAGCTAAGGCAGGATCCGCATGACACCGAAGGCGATGTTCACGACGACAGTACCCACAACTGCATATGATTGGGTCCTTCGCCAAGATAAGTTGGTTGGTTTTCAAAGCGCCTTGTTTGCTGTTTGATTATGCCTGCGTCGTAATCCACGTGAGCAGACAAACGCGACAGCAAGTGTCGCCGGGGGGCTTTGGCGCGTCACGGTTGACCGCGTCATGCGCGGCGCTGCCTTGCGAGTGCAGGTATGCTGGTACGCCTGCAGCGTCCTTCGGTTTGGGTCCAAGACCCTGGCAAAAATGAGGGCGGAAATTTGTGTCATGGTTCCAGGCCTCCTGGGGCACTCGGCAGGCTGATGGGGGGGGGGCGGTGAAGAAGCGTCTCGGGACGGAAAGCCGACATTCGGAACAGGGTCGGGACTTCTCGGGACTCCGCATTGAAGAAACCAGCGAGGCGCGCTAGGCGAAATCCCAATCCAACCACCACATCTCTTAGATGGCACACGCGAAGCCCTCAGTGCGCCTGTCCTGTTCGCACTGCACGTTGGTTTGAACTTGACACGGCTTGCCTGGCAAAGCCCAGGAGGATGTAGGGTTCTTCTGTTACCTATTTAGGGGTGGGGGCTACTAAGGTACTCCAGGCTTGCTGTTTATATCACCTGGCGGGCACATGTTCTCAATCGCTCTCCTGCCCCGTACTTTATGCCAGACTGTTTCCGCTGCGCCCGCCTGGCTATTTTTTACCGCGTTGCGAAGTCGGTCGGCTTCTGCCCAGCCGCCTGACGCCGCGAACATCCGATCCAGGCCCGCGCAACGTCAAAAGCCGAGCGTCAAAGGGGGGCGGCGCGGGCCCCGCCTACAGGAGGATGGGCGTGGGCGCGCCTGGAGCGTCCGCCAGCTCGCCGCGCTCCACGCCGCGGAGGAGGACGACCAGTGTACACCCAGGACGCACCAACGATGTTGCCTCAAGCCCTGCCCCCAAGTTCCCGGCTCATGGTTCATGGGTGCCTACAGGAGTGCACAGTCCACTTTCAGTGCGGGAAGTGCTCCATTCAAAGGCAGCCGTCTGAGGGTCCTCAGAATCGTGTCAGCAACTCGTTCCTCGGACTGCAGCGTCGCGAAGGAACGAAGCTGTTGCGTCCTTGCCATCCTCAATCGTGCCAGCGTGCCAGAGCACAATTCACGGGACTTCCACGCCACGAGTCAACGTGAGTGTTACGTCCTCACACTCCTAAGCCGCGCCAGCACACCATTCCATTGACTTCAACCCTACCAATCCTCCAAACAGTTACTAACGTTTGATCAGACGAATGCGCGCGGCGCTAGCGAGAGAACAACATGTTGAAAACTACCCGCCCTCCACCCTTGGCACTCTTGCGAACTTGTGATGCGAACATGGCCGGCGCCAGTGCGAGAGCTACACTTTGGACAGGACCCGCCCTCCATCCACGAGGCTGCTGCAAACACATCATTGAAACTTGTGTGCGCGGCACTCGGGCGAGAGCCACATTTTGAAAATTAGCCGCCCTCCATGATCGAGCCACTCAAGTCATGGTAATGATAGGGTCTGGGATTTAGAGAAACGGCCCCGGATCTGGAAAATCCGTCTTTGAGTTTAGTAAACCAGTTTTTGCGTTTACTAAATGATCTTTGTCTGGTTTTGACCAGGCGGCGCGATTTATCAAATCCGTGCTTCTCGCTTTAGTAGATCATCGATGTTCCGAATAAGTTGTTTCAAGGACGCGCGCTCATTCATCACCATGACCTGCGTTAGCCGGTGACTCCCGTCTTCACTTTTTTGCACGCGAGCGACGCAGGCAGCTGCGCGCCGTCAAAACGGGTCGTGAAGTGAGGGTCAGGCACAGCGCAACTGTCGCCGGCGACGCGCGGGAAAATTGACAAGCGAGGTACAGCGGCAACGCGGAGGCGGGAGCGAACGAGGACAAGGCGCAGTCTTCACGCGACTGCGCATGTTAAACCTCAGGATCACAAGTGGCGAGTCGGCCTCGAGAGCGAAGCGCCTGGCCCCAGCCCTTTCAACGCCTTCGGGTGTGCGACAGGGGGAGGATGGAGGAGGAGGAGGAGGAGGAGGAGGAGGAGGAGGAGGAGGAGGAGGAGGAGGAGGAGGAGGAGGAGGAGGAGGAGGAGGAGGAGGAGGAGGAGGAGGAGAAAGAGAAGGAGGACGAGGAGGAGGAGAAGGATGAAGACAGGGAGGAGCAAGAGGAGGCGCAGCGTTGCGGCTCCGATGGGCTCAGCTCGGCTTAAGGCCACAATCCGCCGAAGGGCGGCTGCCTCCAGCAGGTCTCCTTGTCGCATTCGCAGGGGCAATCGGAGAGCGACGTGGGCAGTGGAAACTAAGGCCGCGGCATCTGGATATCTCAGCGGGCGTCCCAGAGAACGAGCTCTCTCTGCGAGGCCAGGCGGCAGAAATGAGACATGGCAAAGGAGGATGTTCCCCTGCAGCAGCGAGGTCTCGGACTGCAGGGCACCACAGCAATGCTGCCCCGCAACATGCGTCGGAGGAGCGCCTGGCCAGCTACGAACACGATAAACGATACAAGGACGAGGAGGAGGAGGAGGAGCACAAGCGCAAGAAGAGGAGCCCGCGGATGCGTACACCTACTGGGCCTTGCTGGCGGCACTCGCACAATTATCCCTCACGGCTGGGAGCAAAACGAAGGACGGGAAGGAGAGAGAGAGAGAGATGAGGACGAGGAAGGACGACTGACCCACGCGTCAGCTGCTTTCAAAATCTGGGCCCTGCCATACGTAACTAAAGCACTGGCCAAAGAGGGAGGCGCATCAGGAGGGAGGAGGAGCCGAGAGAGGAGGAGGAGGAGGATGAGGAGGAGGAGGATGACGATGATGATGAGGAGGAGGAGGAGGAGGAAGAGGAGAAGGGCGAGGCGCAGGACGAGGAGGAGGAGGAAGCGGCCGCACGAGGTCGGAAGGTCAGAGGGGGGGTGGGCTCCTCGATGGCGCTCAGGTGGCCGAAGTAGGCGGCGCAGTGCAAGAGTCTCCAATCCACCCACGCCGCCCCGCGCTTCACGGGCACCTCTCGGCGGGAAAGGGGGGGTCCTCCTCCTCCTCCTCGTCCTCCTCCTCCTCCTCCTCCTCCTCCTCCCTCTCATCCTTCTCCTCTTTCTCTGCGATACTCCTCCACCTCTCCTCCTCCTCCTCCACGATCCTCCTCCTCCTCCTCCTCCTCTTTCTCCTCCTCATCCTCTTCCTCCTCCTCCTCCTCTTCCTCCTTCTCCCCTTCATTCTCCTCCCCCCTCCTCATCCACGATCCTCCTCCAACCCCTGCTTCTCCTCCACGGTCCCCCTGTTCCCCCCTCCTCCTCATCATCTGCTGACAGGCTCCCAGCTTCATCAGCGTCACAATCAAAACCACCCCAGTCCCCCTCATGCTCGCCCTCCTCCTCGCCCTCCTTCTCCTCCTCCTCCTCCTCGTCGTCCTCCTCCTCCTCCTCCTCTCCTACGGTCCCTCTGCTCAGCCCTTCAGCTTCTCCTCCTCCTCTTCCTCCTCCTCCTCCTCCCTTCACCTCGCCCTCCACCGCTCCCACTATCCTCCTCGACGGCCTTCTTCCTTTGTCGCCCTCCTCCTGCTGCTGCTCCTCCCGATCCCCGCTCCCCTCGCCTCCCTCCGCCCGTCCTATGCCTCTACGAGGCGGCGGCAACAGGCGGCGACGCCGCTGCCGCCGTCATTGGTCGTGCAGAGTCGTCGTCCGTCGGTCGTCGTCCGTCGGTCGTCGTCCGTCGTTGTGCGTGGTCGTCTTCGTCCGAGAGTCCGGCCGGGCGAAAGGGGGGGAGAGCAAAGGGGGGGTTTGAGAGTCAGCTCACCTTGCTGATTTTCCCGGCGCCTCCTGGCGCCGCGAGGCGCCCATGTAGCGAAGAATGGGCCCAGCGCCGGGGCCGAAACCAGCTGCACGCAGCAGATTTCGTACCCCCCCTTTCCCTATCCCCCCCCGTTCGTTCGGCCCGAGAGAGGCGGGATGGGAGCGGCGGAGTCGCTATAGGGAAGGGCGGCAGCCGATGTCGTGGTCGTCGCCGCCGCCAACGTCGTCGTGGTGGGCCGTCGTCGTGGTCGTCGTGGTCGTCGTGGTCGTCGTGGCCGACGTCGGTCGACGTCGTCGTCATCGTCGTTGCGACGGCGGTGGTGGTCGTCGTCGTGGTCGCGAGCCGTTCTTGTTCGTCGTCCTCGTTCGTCCTTTTGTCGTGGCTGTCGTGGGGGTCGTTGTCCGAGAGGCGGAATCTGCAGGGATAGGCGACGACCGAGGTCGTCGTCGCCGTCGCCGCCGCCGTCGTCGTTCGAGGTCCGACGATGGAGGCCCGACGGTCAAAGTTCGACGATCTGAGTTCGGTGGTCGAAGCTTTGGGGCCTGGTTTGCCATGCTTGTCTGGCGGCCACTGGAGGGTCAGGAGGGGGATCATCGAGAATCGAGGGCCGAATCTTTTCCAGACGCTCAACCCTCACACGTTGCCGCTGATCAAATGGAGAAGGATGGGGAAGAGGAGGAAATGGAGGAGTCTGCCGGCCCCAAGCTAAAGTTAAGAGCGCAGGGCGAAACAGACCCGTGCGCACCGCCAAAGGAAGGCGTCCTCCTGGCAAAATTCTCGCCGGCGAGCTTGAGCTCGCTCGTCCGCCAGCCCTGGCGGACTCTGCGCATAGCTTCTGTTGCCCTCCTCAGGGCTCGCCCTCCTGGTCCGAGGTCCAGAGCGTCAAGTTGTCGCGGAGCAGCTGCATGATGAGGGTGGAATCCTTGTACGAATCCTCCGCGACGTTGTCGAGCTCGGCGATCGCGTCTTCGAAAGCGGTGCGTGCCATCTTGCAGGCCTCATCTGGGTTCGCCAACACCTCGTACTGGAACACGGAGAAATTCAGAGCAAGGCCGAGGCGGATCGGGTGCGTCACTGCCAAGTCCTTGGTGGCAATCGTTTGCGCCTCTTCGTAAGCACTCCTGGCATCGTTCGCAGCCTTCGCCTTGTCATCGCCTGTGGTGTATTCGGCAATGTAGCGGTAGTAGTCGGCCTTCATCTTCTGGTAGAAGACCTTCGACTCGCCTGTCGTTGCCTTCCCGATGAGACTGTTGTCCAAGAGTGCAAGGATCTTCTTGCAAATGTCATCGAGCTCGGATTCCACCTTCTTGCAATACTCCTTCGCGAATGTTGCATTCTCCTCGTTGCCTTTGCTTTTCTCCTTTTGCTCCACGCTGGTGATGATACGCCACGCAGCGCGACGCGAACCCACGGCGTTCTTGTAGGCCACGGACAGGAGATTGCGTTCTTCGACTGACAGCTCGTCACCCGACTTCCCCACTGCCTCCATGTGAGCCGCCATCTCGTCGTAGCGCTCCGCCTGCTCTGCAAGCTTCGCGAAGTACACCTCCTTGTCGCGGTTTGCCATATCGGCAGCTGGGATGGCCTTTCAAGGTGGGTCCGGGGTCGCTGCGATCTCCAAACTGATCGGCAAGCTTCTCGCCTTGAGCCAACGTGCTACGGAAGACGAGAGGCTGGAGGAGGAGGAGGACGATTCGGGTGATCTGAACCTCGTTTCGATGACCAGAGCCATGTACGTGCTAGGGAGGTGGAAGAAGAGGGGATGAACACTGGCCACAGGAGGGCAGTCAGACAACAATGCGGGCACACACCTGGGGGTGGTTAGAGAGGGTCCGACAAGCAGCACAGCGTGAGGAGGATGGGGGGAGGGGACGGGAGGGTGCCAGGGAGGGGACGGGAACGGGGAGGCAAAGAGGCCTTCTTCTTCTTCTCCTCCTTCTCCTCCTCCTCCTCGTCCCTGCTGCTCCTCCTCCTTGTCTTCCGCCCTCCTCCCTCTGCTTCCTCCTTCCTCTCCCTCCTCGGTCTTCCAGGCGTCTGGACAGCGATTGCACGAAATTGGAGCAGCTGGTAAAGGCCATGGAGGAGAGAGGGATCGCAGTGCTTTGCTTGCAGGAGACACACTTGTGCACAGCCCCTTACTTTGAACACAATGGGCATTTAATCTTTTTGTCGGGGGGGCCCGACAATGTTCGCGAGCACGCAGGAGTGGGCTTCGTGGTTGCTCCTTCCGCCCGGCACGCTGTTATGAGCTTCGTGCAGGAGTCCAGCAGACTTGCTAGCCTGACGCTTCGAGTCCCAGGCGGCCCCATGTCTATCATTACTGCGTACTGTCCGCAACCTGATCTTGAGTTTGATGTGCGTCACGACTTCCAAAGTGACCTTCACAAATTCATTTCTCGTACCAGGCCTCACGGACCTGTGTGCGTTTTTGGTGACATGAACGCTCGTTTTGGCCCGGCGTGCGAGCATGCAGATGTTGTCGGGCCATATGCTTGGGGGTCTACATGCACTACGACCGACATTCGCAGCAATCAGAACAGGCTCGTCGAAGTTTGCACTGCACTCCACATGGTTCTTGCAAGCACGTTCCTGGACAGACCAGATGACCAGAAAGTGACCTATTATGACATTTGGGCTACGCTGGTTTCGGAGCTCACGCCGCAGAATTTTGCCGAGATCGACCACTTGATTGTGGAGCGCAGGTGGCAGGACACGGTGCGAGAGGTCAGGGCGGAACGGTCGACTGGATTCTCTTCCCACAACTTCCTCATCGTTGCCTGGATTGCCGTGGAGATTCCCAAAAACCTCTCCAAAGCCTGCGAGGTACACCTTGGATTTGGCATCGCTCACCCAGGAGAACGTGAAGACACGTTTCGTTTCGGAATTCTTGCGCCAGGCCGGCGACAGCGAAGCTATTGGCGCAGAAGCTGTGGACGAAGTGGCTGCCCGGGTCAATTCTGGCATGGCTGCGGCAGCGGCTGTCTGTCTTGACCGACGTCCTGTGCAAGCCAACCGGCCGTGGATACGACAGTGCGCCTTGAGTCTGAACGCAGCCAAACTCGCGTGGCCGGCCATGTTGATACAGAGATTTTGCTGTCACGGCAGGTCAAAGCATCAGCGAAGCAAGACTGGAAATCATGGCTGAACGAAATGGTTTCAAGTGGGGATCGGAGAAGTTTGAGACAGTTCAAACGGAGAGGATTCAAGCGACAAGGGCGGCTTAGAGACGCAAGTGGACATCTCGCCGGTAGTGATGAACGCGCTGGAACCATGGCAAAGTATTACGCCACGGTGCAGTGGAAACCGCCGCCGCTGGGCAGAGCTCCTCCACACGGGGACAAACTTGTCCCGGTGTTGCCTCTGCGGACGGGCGATTTCTCCAGCGAGGAACTGTCAGCAGTACTTGCGAATATGCGGACTGGAAGGGCTTCGGGACCTGACGGCGTTCCCCCGGACCTCTGGAAAGCGCTAGGGTCTGACGCAGACGCCCGCGACGTTCTACTCAATCTTTGCAATGTGTGCTGGAGGGAGAAGACCGTGCCAAAGCAGTGGAAACATTTCAGTGTATCCACTGTGTTCAAAAAGGGCGATGCGTCTCTGCCAGAGAACTACCGACCCATATCGCGCTTGTCTGTTGGGTACAAAGTAGTCGCCGCCCTCGTCCTGCACCGCATGGTAGAGGGAGGGGTTCAGGAACGCTTGCGACCAACGCAATTTGGATTCAGAAAACACCGTGGAGTTAGCGACGCATATTTTCTGGCGCAGAGATTGATCGAGAAAGCATGGACGACCAAAGAAGGATGCCTGTCCGTGCTGCTGCTTGACTGGTCAAAGGCGTTCGATCGAGTGGACGCGGCTGCTCTGGTTATCGCCTTATCCTGGCGTGGCATCCCTGATGAATCTATCGGTCTCACTGCAGAGGTTTACGATAACAGGACGTTTGAAGTGCGTGATGCGCACGGGGAATCTGGCATCTTCAACCAACAATCCGGCATCGCGCAAGGATGCCCACTGAGCCCTTACCTGTTCATCATTATGCTGTCCGTGTTGCTGACAGATGTCGAAGGGGCGGTGCTTCGCGAGCTCGGTCCACTTGCTCAAGGGCGAACGTGCTTGGACGTAGCGTATGCGGACGACACGGCCTTGATCTCTGACGACATCCCTCGTTTGCAGCTTCTCTTGCGCACGCTTGTTCTCCATGCGTGGAAGTACGGCTTGGAGCCCAACTGGGAAACAACGGTGCATCTACAAGTTCGGCATGCAGCGACAGTACTCACATCCACCGGGGACCCAGTCGAACCTACGAATTCAGCTCTATCTCTTGGAGGCCTCTTGAACGCTGACTGCAACGCTGGCGCGTCTCTGGCGCGCAGACTGGGTGAAGCCAGGGGCCAGGGGAGCCCTGGATAAATTGAGCCTGGTGTGGAGCCACGCGAACATCAGTCAGAGAAGAAAGATTCAGCTGTTCAACGCATGCGTCATCTCCAAGCTCACGTACAGCATCGAGGCTCTGTGTGCGGAAAGCAGAGAAGGATAAACTTGACGCGTTTCAGGCCCAATGTTTTCGCAAGATCCTCAAGATCCCTCATTCGATGATCTCCCACGCATCCAACGAGAGCGTGCGGCAGCTAGCAAGGCAACACCGCTTGAGCAGCCACATTCTTATGAAGCAGCTTGACTTGTTCGGGAAGCTAGGTGCCATGCCTGACTCAGCAATTCGTGATGCAGTTTTCGCGCCCGGAAGCCTGAATCCGCCCGTCTTGCACGGAAGACGAGCGCGAGGTCGCCCCAGATTGACATGGGTTCGGGTAACGCACGAGCACGCATCGCAAGCATGTTCGGCCTCTGGCACATCTGTGCACGCTGAGCTGGGTTCTGTCTACAGTAGAGCCCCCTGGAGAAGCATTGCCCAGACGTGCGTTTTCTGAGAGTAGATGTGCCCACGGCGTGCTGCTGGCTGCCTATCCCCCTTCTCCTCCCTCTCCTCCGCCTGCTCCTCCTCCTCCTCCTCCTCCGCCTGCCTTTCTTTGCCGGCAAGGTTTCTCTCACTGAAGACTTGCACACCAGAGGATTTATTACCCACATTTTTCCCGTGTGTGCGCGTTGCCTCATTCATTTCCCGACTTGCTCAACGCACGGTCTGCCCTCTATGGGACCGCCCCTGTTGCCGGAGCTGGCACGCAGACATCCATGCCACCCATGCCATGCCATACGTCTTCTGACTGAGAGCTTATGTATCAGAACTGCTGAATTCAATCCCGTGCTGTTTAGCCGATGCGCCGTGCGGCGCGGCTTCACTGACTGACTGGCTGCACCATCATAATGCAATTGCACAAGCTGCGTAGATAGCGCGACAAAGCTCACAACGACAATGCACCGGCCACTGAATGAACCAACCGTTCAAGGGAAAACCGAGCCAGGGCGGGCAACGAAGCGCAGGTGCCACTGCATGCCAAATACCTACACGGACGTCGTAACGAACGGTGCCGACGCAATGGGGACACACATGTGTGTAACAACATATGTCATCACGGAACAGCTCAGACGCGTCATTAGATAACGTGTCAAGCAAAGCAACACACCAGTAGGGTCTATGACACTCCTAGTGAAATGGTTCGCGACAGCAGGAGAGCCGAAGAAAACGAGACCGGTTGCAGCAAGGATAAACACAAGGCCACATGTGAAGTTCCAACATCGGTCGCGGTGGCCGCGAGATCCCAACCAACATCCAACAGGCTTCACACCCCAATCCAGACACGATGACGGGATGGGCCGAAAGCCAATACATACTAGTGAGAGGGTCCGCGACAACAGGAGGGCCGAAGAGAACGAGAACGGTTGCAGCAAGGAAAAACATAAAGCCGCATGTGAGGTTCCAGCATCGTTCGCGGTGACTCTGGGTGGATGTAATCAAACGTGGGCATGGCTGTTGTTATATTTCAGCCCCCAGCGATTCGGGAACCCGAACCATGCAACGATAACTTCGGCACCAATACACATGGCCGCTTCCGTTGCACATGCCCTTTAGACAAGGGCATGTAAGCTCATGTGCGATGACATGTGTTTTTACGTTCCTGCCTCCTCCTCCCCCTGGCGTGATGTGGGCTTTGGTGTGCCTAGCTCGGCCTGCTATGCCGACCCGCCTGCTACCCAACCCGCTGGCCACATCGCCGCCATATAAAACTTCCATCCCTCGCCTCTCGATCCTCGATCCTCCTCCTGCTCCTCCTCCTCCTCCTCCGCCTACAGCTCCAGGACAACCCGGTGGATCTCCTCTTCCTCCTCCTCGTCCTCTCTCGACCCACCTCCCCTGCCCTCCTCGAACCCCCTCCCTCCTTCCCTCCACTCCCTCACTCCTTCGATCCTCCTCCTCGTCCTCCTCCTCCTCCTCCTCTTCCTGCGGCGCCCTGGACGCCCCCGCCGCCTGGCCAGGCCAGATCCCCCCCCCGCGGGCCTCCACGGAGCAGACGTCCCGGCCGTCCGCTTCCAGCAGCCCGGCGAGGCGCCCGAGGTCCTCGAGGGAGCGGCAGAGGAGCACCGACGGATCGACGGGGGCAGGTCCCGTCCCCCCGATCCCTGCGTGCTCCTCCTCGATAATGCGGGATGGCGATTACTAAAAAAAATGGGGGGGGGGGGGAACGATTAACAAAAGTAGTTT